CTAGTGGTGGTGCTAGTGGGGACTTCTAATGGTAGTGCTAGTGGTAGTCTCTCGTGGGGGGTGCTAATGGTAACCTCTGGTGGGGGTGCTAGTGGTGTCCTTTAATGGTGACCTCTAGTAGTGGTGCTAGTCGTGACCCCTAGTAGTGGTTTTACTGGTGACCTCTAGTGGTGGTGCTAGTGGTGACCTCTGGTGGTGGTGCTAGTGGTGACTTCTGTTGGTGGTGCTCGTGGTAACCTCTGGAGGTATTGCTAGTGGTGACTTCTGGTGGTGGTGGTGGTACTAGTGGTGACCTCTGGTGGTGGTGGTGCTAGTGGTAACCTCGAGGTAGCGCTAGTGGTGACTTCTGGTGGTGGAAGTGATGCTAGTGGTAACCTTATGTAGTGGTGCTAGTGCTGACCTTATGTGGTGGTGGTGCTAGTGCTGACCTTATGTGGTGGTGGTGCTAGTGGTGACCTCTGAACCATCAGCCCCCACGAAGATCAGTCCCCGGAACGGGTGGAAACATTGGACATGTGTGCTTATACCTACTGTCTCTGTTCACCTAGCAATAAATAGGTACCTGGATTTTAGTCACCTTACACCTGCTGTTCCTGTTCACTTAGCATTAAGTAGGTACCTGGGTGTCAATCACCTTACACCTACTGCCCCTGTTCACCTAGTAGTAAGTAGGTACCTGGTTGTTAGTCACCTTGTATCTGCTTTCCCTGTTCACTTAGCAGTAAGTAGGTACCTTGGTGTCAGTCACCTTAAACCTGTTGCCCCTGTTCACCTAACAGCAAGTAGGTACATGTGTCATGTGGGTTTCGAAACGTGGAAAAGGGGTAAGAATACTCACGTAGGCTGGTAGTACGTATAATATAACGGAAGGTATGGGAAGGCACCAACAGCCGACCTGCCTCTCTCTGCTCCCTATCTGGACTGACTCATAGTGCCTACGGGTGTTTGAAATCCTGCTATGGTCAGCAGCAATATGAATACAGTCAGTGATTCACGCAGAGACGGTTGGTAGTGAGTCATCTACTGGTACACTGGTTACTGGTAACTGGTTACTAGGAACTGGTACTACTACTGAGAGCTCGGCGACGCTAACGTATGTCGTCCCGACATACAACTAATACAAACTAGAGACGGCAGGTGTACGGCTTGGGCTGATTCTATACAATGTCAAAGTACACAACAATTGAACATTATAACATACATAAGTAGAATATTGGAATTGAAGCTTACGTAACTGAAACTGTAATGCAATACAAGGTATAATATAGCACAACTCATCGAATGAAACTCAACGTTGAGATTACACAATAGAAGTTATAAAAAAAAATTTGATCGATCGATCTGTATTCATGTGATCTACGGATTCTGAGGAAGGAATATCTAGGCAGATTCGGTGCACTCAAATCTAGACTGTTACTCTCAGAATTCGGAGAGAACGTGAACACAACAAAAAATTCTTGAATACTGATAAGTTGATACTGTAATTATTCATCTATACAGGTTATTTACATTTAACCCCAACTCTGCTAGGGTGAGATTGATATATTCAGAATGGGTGTCATCTCTGGGAGGATCAAACTCTGTTGCACTGGCTAACTCATGCTGTATTTGAGGCAAATCTGAATTGGTAGTTACAAATGATACTTGAGGATTTCTCAATACCTGTCGTGTACGTAGGGAATAACGACATTCAGGTTGATCGTCTGACTGAGTATCAGAGGTAGAGAGTACAGGATCAGGAGGATTGTCAGAGTCTGTCACATTAGTCTGGGTTGGAACATCATTATCATCACATACTAACTTCATATGATCTAAATGCGATTCTTTATACTGACCAGTACTAATTTCTCTAACCTTATACTTATTACCAGTGATATGTTCAACTACTCGATAAGGACCAACAAACTTTTGATCAAGCTTTGGCATTGCAGACGTTTTGTTAAAATTAGTCAGCATAACTCTCGAACCTACTTTGATTTTGTATGGCTTTGCTCGAGTGTTTGCGACTCTTGTAAATTCTGCTCTTGATTTATGAAGTGTTTCACGGATTCTTCTAAAAACACTTTGAGCTACCTTAAACCTGTTGCCCCTGTTCACCTAACAGCAAGTAGGTATATGTGTGTCAGTCACTTTTCACCTGCTGCCTCTAACAGCAAGTAGGTACATGTGTGTCAGTCACTTTTCACCTGCTGCCTCTGTTCATCTAGTAGTAAGTAGGTACCTGGGTGTTAGTCGACTGTTGAGGGTCGCATCCTGGAGGACAAGATTAACCTAACTTGCCAGAAATGTTGTACATAACCAGAGACTTGCTGCTCCTCTGTCAAAGTATCATGCACTTATAGATGTAGTAGTAATAATAATAATAATAATAATAATAATAATAATAATAATAATAATAATAATAATATTGCTATTATTATCTGCACGGAGGTTAAGCTGACCTCCGTGACTTCACACCTCAACCCACACTGTCTGGGAGTGTTAAGAGGACCAGGTGAACGACCAGACGAAAAGTAAAGGCAGGTGTAGGTATGTCACCTGTAAGGTAGTAGTGGTGGTGGTAGTAGTGGTGGTGGTAGTAGTGGTGGTGTTGGTGGTGGTAGTAGTGGTAGTGGTGGTGGTAGTAGTGGTGGTG